GCGGCGGAGAGCCCCGGGCCGCGGCGCGCCACCGCCGCTCCGGGCCGGGCACCCCGCCGGCCTCCTGCCCCCCTCGGAGCCCTGCGCCCTCCTTCGCATCTTTACTGAAACCTGGCAGTCTCCGCAAGGGGAAGTAGCTCACATCCCCAGCAATTTAAGTTGTTAAAATGCGTGCCTGCCCTTTAAAAAGGGTGTTTGATAAGTCCTGCCTTTGCTCCCAGGACCCAACACTCCTAAAACTAAAAAAAAAAAAAAAAAAAAGAAAAAGAAAATAAATTGTCTCTAAGCAAGTGACCTGTTCCAGGTTTTAGTAAACAAAGTGTGATTCAATGATTCATACTGATATCGGTGCGGCAGAGCAGGGGGGACAGTGGTGTCAGTTTCTGTATAAAAATAAAAATGAGCCCAACTGTTGAGAGCTTGTCAGTACCAGGGCTCGGTGCCTGCCCAGTGACCCCCTGGCCCAGCTATAGCTGCAGAGGCTGTTCCATGCTAGGCTGAGCAATGGCATCTGGGCCCTTTTCCCCGCGCAGGCAGGCAGGGGGGCCCTGCCCCGGCACTGCAGGCTCTTCCTCCTTCCCTGCACTCGGGCTTGGCTGGGGGAACAGAAACCCCTGCCTTGGGCTGCAGAGCGCTGACCCCAGCGGCCATCGCTCCGAAAGCTTCAAACAAATGATCCACTTCCTCCTCTGTTTGCTTTGGAGTCGCGGCATCTGGACTTTGCGCTGGCGGCTGATTTTTTTCCCCTCCTCTGGTCTTCAAGAACAACCAAAATAACCAACCAGAGAAATGCCCACAGGCTTGAGCTATTCCAGATTTTATTTTTTTTATGATCATTATTATTATTATTTCCTTAAGGAGAGCAATCAGGTTCCTCGAATTTCCTTCTCTTTATAGTTTCTTTTTTTTTTTCCCTCGCCTTGGCCAGAAGTGTGGAGTAGACAGAGGAGCGAACAGCCTATTATTTTCTGCAGTTGTTTACTCGTTCTGTAGATGGTGCTTGTTCCCAGGGCTCTAAGCCTCTCTATAATTAAACCCATTTTAATTGTTAGTTAGAAACGTCATTTCGGGGACTTTCCAAGAGTTACAGAGAAAGCCAGCCGCGATAACTATTTCACTACCGAGTCGCTGGCAGCCTGGTTTCTGCCTGGTTCCTCCTGCGGCCCAGGCACGGCATGGGGCTGATCTCGGAGCGGGATTGTGGCCGGCCCAGGGCCAGCAGCCCCTCCGCCAGCACAGCCCGCTGCCCTGCTGCTTTTGTGCTAGTCGCTTGTCCCCTGTGCATTTGTTTTGGAAACTTGGGGTTTAAGGCTGCACATTTCCGCGGATCAAGTGGCAAAGGCTGAAGCCGAGAAGGAATTTTTTCCAGTGATTTAGCTTGGCAAACCCCGACTCCATGGTGGTCTGCCTTGCATTGCCTGCGCACATGCTCAGCTCAGGAATTTAGCTGCTCACCCCACCTCGTGGCTAAAAGTCAGAGCCCTCCGGGCCAGAGTGGGAATTTGTGTGGGCATGAATTCACACCGAGCGGAGGAATGAAAAGATTGGAGCCTTACACCGCCCGCCAGAGCCGTGCCAGAACTTTGATAGATGCAAATGAATAAAGATAGGTAAATGAATAAATGAAAGTCAATTATTAAAGACGATTACTGAAAAAGTGAATGAATGCAATGCCATGCTCACTAGCCTTCTTGTATGAGTCAGTCCATCCAGGCCCAGCAGATTCCAGATGGGATACTACAGCTGGGCCTGGGAAGCAGGAATAAATGTCCAGAACCTCCCAAGCCCTTCTCAAACTTGTCCTCAGCACAGGAGGCGCTTTTGGAGCCCTCTCCTTCCCTGGGTCAAATGCAAGCAGATGCTAAACTTGTCACAAAATACAGAGGGATAAGATTCTGCATTAAACCTGTGCCCACATTTAGCAGAGGAATTAAGAACCACTTTCATGCACGAGAGCTGAAGCAGGCCAGAGTGGCCAGAAGGCGGGGAAGAAGAAGAGGGCAGCAAATGAAATGATAAAGGCAGGAGATTTAAAGGATTACTTTTTCCAATTGCGTGTGTGTATAAAACTGTGGGCTCGTTGGCACATGATGCTGTAAAGGTCAAAAGTATAAAACAGGTCAAAAAAGCAATTTGACAAATTTATGGAGGAAAAGTCCCTGGAGGTTTACTAAAGGCAAAGGCAGACCTCTGCAACATGTTGCTGGACAACGCACAGCAAAAGTATCACTCTCTCATCCCCGTTTTCCCCCATAAGCATTGACTGCTCTTGGAGGTAAGAGGAGAGCCACAACAGACCTTTGGTCTGATCCAGTTTGGCACTGGGATGTTCAAATCAGCACTATCTTGTCCCCAAGCCACGGAGCACGGGTTCACACGCTGGCCTCTGCTGAAGGCTGGAGAGCAGTCTCATGGGGTGGCTGCACTCTTTGCCCAGTTTAACTCCCCGCCAGGGTAATAAGAGGTTACTTTGAGCACTGAGTGTAAACTGAATCCAAGTGCCAGCTTTGCCACAAATATATTTGATGATGGTGCAGCTCCCGTGGCAAAAGAACAAGGTTGCTATCTTAAGACACCTGCACTTCCCCTCACCTGGAGCCATTTGGCAGTGGGAAGCCTGCAGATCTACTTGCGTCAGAGTTACTGAGCAAGAACTTGAGTATGAAAAAGCCTGAATTGTTGAAAACAAGGTGGGGGTGGGGTGTTTTGGTTTATTCCCCCTCCTACCACTCAGTTCCCAAAGTTTCAAGGTAGGAAAGGGAAGTGCTTTCGTCACAAGCAACGTTTTCCGCTGTGAGTTTCAGATGAGTTGGGCATTTCACTCCCCTGCTCCCATGGGAATCCTCAGGTAAACAGACATGTCTTGTCTGCAGCGGTGCTCCGATGTACAGCGGCTGGGAGCAGAGGAAGGACAAACCTCCTGACTTTATTTTTGCTGGGGGTGTAAAATGAGCCAAGGCTTTCTGCAGTCACTATTCTATACATATCTTTTGGGTCTGATGCTATTTTTGTTGGCTGTGACCCTGGAGGTGTAGGTGTGGAAGTGCCTTTCTGCTGCTCTCTGCATGCGGGTGTAGATGTTTCCTCTGTTCCAGGCACCTCCTCAGACTCTGTGGCCTTTCAGGGGGAGTAGGCGGATGTCGGCGTGGCCTTTCCCCACCTGTCTGTAACTTTTTAATACTTCTTTTTATTTTGGCCTTGCGCTTCTTCCATGGAACATCTCTGGGTAGCCACTGGGAGGTGTAAATGGCTTGAGATGGAAACCACAGCTTGTAGGTGCGCCCTCTGCCAGGCTTTTCTGGCACCCGAGGAAGTCAGGTCTGTGCCTGCTCCCAAGCAAAAGGGATATTACCAGCTGCTCGGTGAGAAAACAAATTCACAGAGATACAGGAAAGTGTGTTAAGGTGGTGGGAAGCAACGGGAGTGAGATTCCTGGCAGCTCGGGTATGTAAACATTCATAAAATAGAGAGTGTGTGCATGTGTGTACTTTGTGGTGGCAGGAAACCCAAGAAGCTAGCTCCATTATTTTTGCTGGAATTGGTAGCAGCCGTACCAGACAAATATTATAAGCCCTTAATCCTCCTGACTTTACACCTGTGAATGACCTAAAGACCATCCAAGGTGATCTAAATTACAGCACATCTTTACTAATTAGTAATGGGGTTTGGGATCTGATTTAGTTGTTTGTAAAAAGGGCTTTCTTGTTTTTCAGTAGCTCAGATGTTGGACTACCTCTGGGGGAAGTGAGGGGAAGGCAGGAGGTGGAGGTAATGCGTGGCCTCTTCTGAAGTGTCACATGGATGTGACTAGCCTGCCACAAATTTAGCTCCGGTGGCACTGACAAGACACTGCAGTGGAAAAAGCAGAGATGTCCTTTTAAGCAGACGCAGGGTAAGGAAATTGGCTGAAGCTAATGGATCTAAGTTATAATTTCCAGTGGAAATACTAATGCAATTAATGTATTTCCACACAGCAGGACAGCAAGCCCATGCAAGTGTTTAGCTGTTTGTCATGACTGCTCAGCAGGCTGGCCTAGCCACGTCCTGGGGTCTGTCCAGCTGCACCCAGACACATGCAGCCTGTGCTGAGGGTGGGTGCAGGGCTGAGACACACGCCAGTGTGGCAGTAGGTTTGAGGGGCTGGAGGAGAAGACCATCACCAGGACCAGCTGCTGCATGGGTGTGGAAAGTGAAGGCGCCCGACCAGCAACATCTGTCTCCCTGCTTGTGACCTGGGTGTGGGGCTGTTACTTTACCCCAGCTCCGTGGCAGTGCAGTCCCCAGCTGGGGTCTGCACATCCTGTCTGGACACAAGGACAAGCAGGAAAGCCCAAGAGCCTCCTCACACTGCGCCACAGATCTCCCTTGCTGCTGCACCCACCACCTCCTGCAGAGAAATCTCTCTTGTTAGGGGTGTGCCTGTTCTCAGTGAAGTTGCAAACCCTCTAGGGCAAGGCGCAAGACTCGTCTGATCTCCTCCCTGAACATGCCACAAGTGCGTGAAGCTAGAGGAGGGATTTCCATCCTGCCCGTGTGGTAATGGGAGCTGAGGAGGTGCCCAGCCTGGATGCAGCAAGGCGAGGTATGGAGTGAGATGTGTTTCTCATCAGTGGTGGAGCAGAGCCACGAAGCTGCTGTTGGGGAGACTGCAGTTCTATCCTGCCCCATCCCCTCCCTGTGGAGAGTCCACATCCATGGGACAGCCTGTGCAGCCAGGTGCCAGCATCCTCTTTCCTCCAGCTCTCAGCTGGGCACATGGTGGTCCTGAGGTCCCCAGCATCCCTGCTGGGCCCAGCCTCAGGAGCGAATTATTGTGTGCAGCAAAGGCACAGCTTCAAATAGGTGTCCTTAACCTGGCCTAATCTGCACAGGGCTCTGTGCCTGCCGGGGCAGAGGGAAGTCAACTATATCTCACCTCCATAAATTGTTGTTCAGATTAAGGGAAGTGCCAGAAGCTTTAAAGAGGCTGTTGGCAGATTCCAGAAAAAAAGAAACAAGTGACACCTGCTGCACATCAAAACAGCAATTACCTTTGTATCAGTAAGATGGTTAATGCATGTAACAAGTGGCTGGAGATATGGAAGGGCATAGATCTCAGAAACCAGGACAAAATCAGTTTTTTCAAATCCTGCATCCATGGTCCTGAGCTGATATACAAGCAAGATGATAATGCAGCACAGTGGTTTTTGTTGGCCTCTGCCTGTTTCCAGCCACAGCAGCCCTGGCTGCTGATTATTCAGCAGACATTAACCAGTGGAATGTTTCCGTGATTTTTTTCTCAAATAAAGAATGCTGGGAAAAATGCTTTCATATTTTTATTTTCTTTTTTGAGAAAGTCTAAGACAACTCCGGAGCCTTTCAGATCATGACATTTATATGACATGCGGTGCTGGTGTCAGAAATTGTTGCTTGCTGTGCTGGTGGCCACTTACTTCCAACAGGCTCAGCTGTAACCTTCTGAAAAATACCATTTTGTCCTTTCACAGTGGAGCTTGTCATAACCTTATTTCCAAACACATGGGTTGCACTCCACACATCTTACAGCTCCGTGAGATATTTGCATTAGGGAGGCAGCTTGCTTTCCCGCCTATCCCGTTCCATCAAAACACACTTTTAGCCCCAGGCAGGAAGCCAAGGTCAAGTCTCCTTTTCTTTTTTTTTTTTTGTTCCTCTTGCCTGCTCTGAATGCATGATAATACAGACTTCAGCTCCATTATTATATCTTTTCCCACAAGACCGTTGCCTCATTCAGACCTCAGCAGGGAACATGTTTTCACCTCTGCCAGCTGGGCATGGCTGGAGAGCCCTATGCCCGTAGGAGCTCCAAGGGGGAGGACACGGAGGTGAGGCTTTGCAGAGAGGATAGAGGAGTTTGGTTAGCTCCAGATCTGGTAGGGCATTTCCAGGGAGCCTCTCCCACTGCCTCCCTTGTCAGGCCAGTAATGAAGAATGTCAATGACGATGGGATTCCTCTCATCTCTTTTTAAGTGCCTAAAAGTTAGGTGTCTAATCCTAATTAGTTAGACAGGCTTCCTGCATAGCCAATGGAGACAAATAGGCACCTCCAGTGTATGATTCATTTCACATATCTTGAAGTTTATCTTGAGAAGGGCTGACTCACCTGACAGCCAAGCACCCGCTTCTCTTCTGTGGCTGTAAAGGCAGATCGGCAACTTGCTGAGGATTTGACAGCTACGTTTTGGGTGTCCCAAGCGGGCAAGGTGAGTCCTACTGCCAGCTGCGGCAGTGGCTATGGCAAGTATCATCACTTGGCTGCTATGGCTTGCCCCCCTCCCACCCTGTTTCCCACAGAGAAGGTCCATTTGCAACCCTGCCCAAGCAGGGCTGGGTTTTAGTCTGTCCAAATCACATTATCAGCCCTTATCACATTATCAGACCAAGTTAAATATTTATAAAGCACCTGGGGGCAGGGTCCACATCTTTCTTCAGCTTGTATATTCCCTCGAGGAGCAAAGCCCCTGTGCCGGTTTGCAACCCTTTGCAGGCTGGTGCAATACAGCACCATGAGTCCGTGTGCCAATCTGCATGTCTTGACAAAATGCAGCTGGGAATGCAGAAAGACCTCATGGACATTGGGAAATAGGCAGGAGTGAATCATAAGAGTCAGGAGAAGCAACTAATGTGTGGGAAAAAGGCAAATGTGCTACCTCTGCACAAACATACAATAAGGAAGTATGTAATAATAATTATTGTTATTGTAATACGGCCTGGGTGAGCATTTGGGAAAAAGATATCTAATAACTGACAAGCGACGTGGCTCGGTTTGTTTTGATCTGAAATTCAAACAATGGTTGTGTTTATAAGGCAATAATACGCAGGGTACTGGCACCACACCAACTATGCACTCCCCAAGTCGGGTTTATATAGGTCATGCCAAACAAATAATAGTGTTCTTCAATATAATTACTGATTCATTACAGAAAGAGAATGTAATTGAGTCTGTTTGGATTTCAGGGAGGCGTTAGATGTAGTAAATTCATACATTTGAGCTCAGATTGGGAAAGCTTTGTGTGCTCGCCTAGTTCTACTCATCTAGGAGTCTGAGATAAAATTCCCACTGCAGCCTGCCCGGCAGCATGAGAGCTTTCCCTCAGGCTTCAGCAGTTGCTCATGCTCCTGCTGCCCTTTGCAAACTTTTTCAGTGCCCATTGAAGCACTTCACAGATAAACTGGAAAATGAAACTAATGTTAGAGCAAAACTCAGATCCAAATATGCTGGACATGGCTTTTACCTCAGGCAATAGCACCTACCCCCTTGATCCTGGGGACATGCTGGCCCCTCCACTTCTGAACCTCCTGGTCCATGGCCCACTTCTGGATGTGTCTCTTGACACACATCATGTCAGTGTTACTGCAGGGGAAAGCAGCAAAAGGCAGAGGATGGGATAGACTGGCAGTGCCCACCAGTTCCCTGGACAAAGACACCCCAGCTTAACTGGCACATTTGGCCACAGGAGAGTTAAACTGTGTTGTTCTCATCCTGGCATGAGGGTGGGGTTGGACAGTGGCAGGGCCATGATGCCACACAGCATGGCAAGCAGGTGCTACCAGCACTCAGTGTTACAGGACAAGGGCTGGCCTCCGAAGGTGAGGGAGCACCAGGGCTGCTGCTCTGGTGACTTTTGAATGGCTTTGCCACATGCCGTTCCCTGGGGCATTGTGGCTGCAGTACTCGCTCTGCTTTCCCCAGGGAGACCTGGGCAGTCCTACTCTGGTCTGAGGTGTTTCCTGCCAGCCTTAACCCTGTGGGGACCCTGCACAGCACACAGGGATGGATGATAGTGCCCAGAGTAGCATCCTCAGCACCCGGCACAGCTGCCAGTACCAGTGACAGGGCATTGCTGTGTGTGACACCTGGGCTCAAGGGGTTTACCCAGGAAAACAGAAGGCATTGTGGCACAGCCTTGGAGTCAGCACCCCTCATGTCCATCACCGGCCCTGCTGCTGCTCCCCGCAGTACAAAGGGCAGAACCCCTGTCTCCTTCCTCCCTCCTGCCCTGCCCCAGGTAGCAGCTGTCTTTTAAAGAAAGGCCAGACAGGGCATAATATCAGGTGTCCAGAAAAGCAGGGACCGTGCTGGTCACCCTGGTGGGCCAGCACCCAGCAGAAGGATAGAGCACTGATGGAGCTCTAGACCCACTAGTCAGTTGACTTCTGCCAGCTTCTGAAGAAGTTCATCAGGAACAAGCAGAGACCATAGTAATTTATGCTTTCAAAAGGTCTTTTGATAAAAGCCTTTCCAAGAATGAAACAAACTTGGCAGCCATGGTATGAAAAGTCCCATAATGGATTGAAAATTGAGTCAGAACTGGCAGAATGGGGGAAAAATCCATTACAAGTAAAAGGCCAGTGTTCCAGTTGAGGAAGAAGAGTTTACTGGGTGGAAGGGGCTGGTGGGACCATGCCTAGCAGAGATGAAAGCAGCCCTCTGAATACTATTACAAAAATCAGTGAAGGGGGAAGAAGGATAAAAAGGCAACAGCATCTGCTGCCAACAGCGAACCATGCATTATAAATGCAAGCAAGTCTTGGCAGGACTGGGAGGGACTCCAGAAGATTCTAACTAAACTTGGAAACCAAACCACCATGATGGAGAAAGTTCAGTGCACACAAATGCCAAAGCAAGCTGGTTTAGAAAAAACTGGGCAAGTTTCTTACTCTGAATTAGAAGTTGTCTTGTTGGGGTCAGCAGCAGACAGGGCAATGACTGTTCAAGCATCACACATAAGACACTTGCAACATGGGTCAGCATGAAAACCATGTCATTATATAACCTGGGTACCCATCACTTGCCCCTGTGAAGCAGGACCTAAAGAAACATTGCAAGATGGACCATACTGACATATAACCTGGGTACCCATCACAGTCCGTGCCCACTTGCCCCTGTGAAGCAGGACCTAAAGAAACATTGCAAGATGGACCATACTGAGTCAAGATCAAAAGTCCATCAAAGGCACCATGGAAGAATAGAAACAGGATCAGAACTGGATGCGGGACTTTTTCTGTGAAGGGAGGTTGAGGAATATAATATTTCATTTGCAGCAGGGATGAGGAAGGCTACAAAACAATAGTTCCCTTTAGCAACAACTGGCTGATGCTTTTGGTTTATTTGTGCTCTGCAAGTTGAAAAGAGAGATGTAAAGGTGCTTTTAAAAATAGTTGCAAGGAAGTTTGTGCTTTGCCACTGCCTCAGTACTGTTCCTGGCTGGATGTGATGTGCTGATAAGCTCATACCTGGCCTGAACTCAGCCAGCCCTGCGTGCCAAGCCACCCGGAGCAGTGCACCGGCTCAGGAAGGTTGCCAACACCCACTGGATGCAATTGCCTTGTGGGCAGCCTCCAGCCCTGGGCAGCAGCTGGTGAAGCCCTGCCTGTGCACTGAAAGCCTGCTCACATCAGTGCCCAGCTGTCACGGAGTGGGGACTACACTGCAGGGCCAAATGTGGTCCCTGGCAGGGCGTGGTGACACCGAGACCCATGCAGTAAGAAATGGAAAGGGGGGGTCTGTGTGTAAATAATTTACTAGGATGACCTGGCTATCAGGGATGTGGTCCCTGGCAGGGCGTGGTGACACTGAGACCCATGCAGTAAGAAATGGAAGGGGGGTCTGTGTGTAAATAATTTACTAGGATGACCTGGCTATCAGGCCCTTGTTTATTTTTATGAAGTTACTAAAGAATCATGTTGATTTTGAAACAAGTTTGGGGGACCAGAGAAGCAAAGGCATCTGTCCCCTGTGTGTGGCAAGGCAGCCGGGTTGGGAGGGGACAGATGCCTTCTGAATTTCCAACTTTTCCTGCATACAGAAACCTTTGTGGAGAAACCAGAGAGGGAGAAATGCCACACATTCTACAGGTGGCTGAACCAGAAAGGTGGGAGCTTTGGCACACACTCTGTGGATGACCAGGGAGGGGAAGTCGTTGGCTGGATAATGTTTGTCACTATTTCAGTCAGGGCTTCTGGGTGCCCCCAGCTGCCAGTGCTGTGCCGGGGCCATGGATCCACAAGAGAGGTAGGCTTTTGGCGGAGAAACAAAAGCAAAGCATGGAATTACTGCCATCAGAGGAGCTAATCGTGCTCCTGCCAAGAGCAGAGACATTGGGCCTGGTGTCTGGCTACCGTGCAGTGCAGGTAGTGAGCACTGGGGATGATGGGATGCCCTGCTCCACAGCGCAGTTTCCTCGGTGTGGTGAAGCCCAGGCAGCCTTGAAGATCCACAGCAGGATGCTTCCTCCTTACCTCCTTATCTCCTTACCAATCCTTTGCTTTCTGTAAGGGGATAAAAGGTGTTGCAGACATATGAGACATTGATTGCTGGCAACTGGGGCTGAAAAAAGAGAAAAAGGCTAATCCTCCTACTTTCCTACTCTTTTTCTTTTTCTCTAAGTCTCTGTTCCATACATCATGTGATCATAAGTGAATCTAATTATTCAGCTAAGAAAAGCATGCTGTTCATATTAGCTAGCACAGAGAAAAACATGAAAACTCTGAAGTGTGAGTCAAAGATTCAAAAGCAAATGTATAGAATTCAATGTTACTGGTTTTATATTTTTCTTAGTTATGTTCCTTAGGTGACTGACAGTATTTTGGAACCTGTTTGTCAAGCATTTGGGATTAGCTTTCTTGGAAGGGCATGGATGTGGGCCCTCTAGTGCCACTTGGGAAATGCCAAGATACCAGCCCACAGCTCTTCAGGGGGAGTTGTTCCTTGGCAAGTACCAAGAGCATAATCAGAAATTTGGAAGCACTTCAGATGGTCAAGGAGAAAAACAGATCAGTTTTTCTCTTTATGTCTCCTGCGTGTGGCTGGTCCAACTGGATAATAGATCCAGCAGTAACTCAGCAGCAGAAACTGCTGGTTCAATGGTTGCCTGATGTCCTCTTGAAATGAGAGTTCAGACAGTGCTGCTTTGTTTGTCTGTGGATGGACACTTGCTATCTCCAGGCCTACAGAGCAAGCAGTGTTAGACATATCAAAATAATTTTTAAGAAGTCTTCTGACTCCAAAGCTCAGTGCCTTTCAGTTTGTGTGCACTGAGCTGAGAAAGCATGCCCACTAATTGTTACTGAAGTCAGCAGTGGTTGGCCCACCAGTACAATGCCAGGATGCTGGGCAAACTTCTGCCCCTCCTCCCAAGTTCAGGTGTGTTTGAGATGTGCAGCTCAAAAATGACCAGTCTGTTACCTCTGATATTGTCGATGGGTAAAAATCTACAGGTTCAGGA